ACAGCCATACCCAGCGGTAATGCGAGGGCATGGATTTTCTTGACTGATGCTGCCTGTTGGAAATGTAAATGAAAACTGGCTGAGATTATTTCGCGGCATTTGGTCAATAAGCGGTTGGGAGCCCACTTGCCTGACCACACTATGCTTTAAAATACGTATCTCGGAGCTCCTTAGCTGTTTTGTCTCACTAAGGCAACGCCCGCAAATTACACTTACGTAACTGAAAGACCACGCTGATGAAATAAACTTATTCTTCCCCGGAGAAGAAATTTGTTTCATAGTTCATATTTAGGCTCTTAACGAAATTACCTTCACATCATTCGACAACAAAACTGAGCGCCTACAGAACTGACCATCATTATTGATATTATTACATCAGGAGCAGACAACCCGCTAAACGGGACTTCAACGTCTGGTCGGTAAAAAGCTAAACAAAAGAGAATTGCTAAGACATATCAACCGTTCGGAGAGCAAATTTGAAAAATCTAAAACAAACTAAACAGAAAACCTGCTTCAGTCTTTGTAGCATCCATCTAGAGCTTTCAGGGTTACATGGCTTAAAGCGGAAATATCCAACTGGCGGAGATCCATTGTGTCCCACCGCTCCGGATTGTCAGCGAACCGGACGTTTTCAAACCTAGTTTGATAAACGGTTACTGCAGCATAGCGCCTACTGAAGCTGAGAAACTGTTAGCAGCCCTAAACTCTATAGCCAGTATTTAAGATTTTACATAATTTTCTAATATAAAATCTTTCCCATGCAGATGCTTCAACACTTGACAAACACCGTCCACGACAATCCATCCTATATAAACAAATATCTGTATACAAAATAAAATTTGGAAAATATCCACGTAAAAAACTGGAAACGATTTGGGCATCAAGTACAGTACACTGTCAAATAAAATTAATTCTACTCACAACTGAAGGAAATTGCGGATGCTGGCCCATTCATAGGGATAGGCCAGCGTCTGCACCCAGCGTGCATGCACCCTAGCGACCTTTTCATAAATCCACTCAGTAGCCGGTGTCCCTCTGTTGTTGACGGCGGCTAATAAGCCACGCCAATGACCCAGCGGCTTGTCAGCGGAACGGAGGCGCAAGTAGAGGATATTGTGGTCTGTCATGCTATCCAGACGAAATGACCACGTAGAAAGTCTTTCTCGGCTGCTGGTAACGTCGATTTGACATCACCGAGTAGCGTCTGCGCTTCTTTGCCGAGAACCGACCACGCCGGGTAGTTGATCAGCAGCAGATGATCGCACATGCTCATCGGTACTTGCGGAGCGCGATACTCGACAGTCTCGTTGTTTCCCGTGCGGAGGACGGCCATGCGCATGTTCCATGGCAGAGCACAGCTGCTCTTGGCAATAATTAACGGGAGGTGTAGGCCTTTTATTTCGAGGACCTCAGAGGTGGTCCCTACCAGAGTGTCCAGCTCCAGTCCGGCGTCCCTGTCTCGCTGGTCGTGCAGAAGCACCAACGACTTCGTGTGACGGGTCACGATGCTGTCCAACTTTCTTACGAAATGATATGTACGATTAACATTATCAAATGGAAACCCGTACTCCCATTGGTTGCTTGTGTAGGCCCGAGGGGGAGTGATAATGATGTGCCGGTTGCTGCAATTAAGCAACAGAAGCCTCCACAGCGCACACACCCTGCAAGACAATAAATTAAAGGTCACCCATGCGGTTGCAACATTTCTTCCTGAATTTGACATCATGAAAATTAAATGGTTCTGTAAAACGGAAGCAAGAAATAGATACTAGACGGATATTGAAGAAACTTATCGTCTTGCGATCTACGGTCGTTTAGACGCAGACGTACTGTAGCGGCGGTTTCAAGTTAGACCACAGCGTGGGTTTACCGGGAAAATGCGCACTGGATATACCCACGCTGCACGGGCAAAATTCACGACCCAAATCCCTTTTTACATTTTCTTATTTCTGATAGCAAATTTCCACGTAATTTTAACTACTTTTTCACCCAAATTTTTTTATCATCAGAGCTCTGAAAATCATCGCCTTTCTGCGCCCATCATGTAAACTCATTCACCGTCCTTCCCAGTGCTGACTAAAAACCGTCTCTCCCGTGCAGGGGCACCCCAAAAACCACAACAAACCACCATGGTCATCAGAGCTCTGCTTTGTATACATTACTTTTCAGCCTTCTGTAATACAGATTCTAGCTGATTTTTCATTTTAAGATTTATTATTAATTTAAATGAACTGTTAAATCATGAATGTTGCTCAACAGCTCAAGGAACTCCGATTTTGATTTGCTGGTAAAATTTCGTGAATTTTGCCCGTGCAGCGTGAGTATATCCAGTGCGCATTTTTCCGGTAAACACACGCTGTGGTCTAACTTGAAACCGCCACTACAGTAACTGACCGTGAAATACAGATAGTGATTAACGAGAAAAAAACTGGAGAAATGAAAATCTTATGAAGATAAACGGAGCTGACTTGCCGATGCATCCGTAACTCAATTTCCACATCCAGATTCAGGAAGACGCACATCAGGATCACGTCCGGTAGGTTGGCGATGGGAATTTCGTCCACATCTACAAGTGGCTTCTTAGTAACTGTCATCTCCGCTAAACGGGCGCAAATACAGTACATAGGAAATCATAAAATTGTTGTATGCTTTTTTCTTCCTTCCTCTACGGTGGCACTTCCTTCCTCTACACTGAGAACTAACCATATTCCAGGGTATCAAGAAGTTGGAGTTCAGGCTTAACAAAGCTGGGGAATTTAGACTGTTCCGCTAGATACTTCTCGCAAACTTCCTTCAGGGAATCCACCGTCCAAAACATGCTGCGACTTTCAAGTCCCCCGTGGAATTCGGCACAAATAAAAGTGACGGTGTCGTCTCCTGCTCGCACGAATGCTCGACAACCGACATTAAATCCATAGTTACCGGTCTCACCACTTTCCAGGCTATGTTCCGGACAGCGGAAATGCGTAATATCATGGCCCACCCACTTTAAAAACCGACAATCCCCACTGCATCGCAGGTCTGGAGCATTCAGAGCCAACTGACAACTGCTGGCCAGAAACCTGGGCATCAGATCCATATTCCAAAGCAAGCTGGCCTTCTCGAAGCTAACGGCGTGCTTTTTGTACAGGATCCCGGTGAGTCTCCCGAAAAAACTCATGCCATCCAGGTTCTCCGGCAATTTCTGGGTAAACTGACTCTGATGCACAATACGCTGGCGAGGCGACGGTATGTTCTTTCCGTCCGCCATACTATGCACCCTCACAAAGCAGAACATGTTGCAGACGTCGCGCAAGACTGTACAAGGCCGAAACACCATCGGTCCGCCGTCCGTGTCACGCAGCGCCACTTGCAGGGTCTCGTCGACGTATCTATAGATATCACGGCGAAGGCAACGGTGCGGCCAGAGATGGCGCGAATGGACCCATTCCGCCGGGGCGCTGCTGGCATCGAAGTCGATAAAGTACTGGTCACCGTCAATATCCTGCACGTATCCCAGCCACCACTGGCCGTTGTCACGATGCACCAGCACCGTGTTACCGTAGTTCAGCTCGCGCGCACCCGAGTACAAATGGCGAAAATACAATGGCGGTGCATTCATGATGACACAAAACTGGAAATGCGCCGAAAATCAGTTAGTGAAGTTTGTTCTGCTATACGCCAACAAGATGCTCCTATGTGATGAGCTAACTTCAACTGGGCTGCGGTTTGTGGCAGGTTCAACCTCTGGCTCTTTCGGTATGGCCTGGTTACTCGATTCAACCACGGTCCACGGCAAAGACCGATCATATTGCTTTAGCTGTGTGTCTTGTCTATTATTTGGGTGTTATCATATAACAAATTAGGGATGTTGGGCTAAGCCTAGGAGCAGCTATCGTCACCCCGCACCGTTGCGTGTGCGGGGACTGGGTTGACACACGAGGGTACCATGGCCTTAGCCGCAAAAAAGTCGAGGCCGGAAGCACAGACATAGCAGCCTGAACATTGTCTGTAAAAGAGCATTCGCATCAGAGGGAATCGAAGCAGAACTTGAACCAGCGGGCTTATGCTGAACGAATGGCAAACGCCCGGATGGCATTCTTCCCCTTTTTCACACTGGCTCCGTGAAAAAGGGGAAGAACGCCGACTTGGGATGTAACATGCGTCTGTACGGTAGCCTTATCGCATATCGCGGCAACGTCCGTGCGAGCTGGAGCAGCGGCGGCAAAGGCCGAATCGGATAAGGTACCCAAGTACCAGAGCATCACCCTTGACTACTTGTTCAGCGTTTTGGGCTTCGAGGCGCTAGGACCCAACGGACCGGAAGCTGCTTGCCTGCCTATCAAAGTGGGTAGGAGGGTACGGCAAGAAACCGGCGAGGTACGATCATCGGAATATCTACGCCAGCGTATCAGCATAGAAATCCAACGCAGGAACGCGGCCTCCGTTCAGGGAACAGCTCCACCGGGAGCAAATTTGGATCATTTGTTCTCTGTTTTTAGACCTCCCCAGGCTGCTGATTGAGTGTACTGCGTTGGGAAGTTAATTGTTTATCTATAAGCGAAATGGGTATAATAAATTAAGGAAGTTGGTCAGTTTCTTTGGACGTCTGATTTGGGAAAAGACAGGCGGGAGCAGATCCACGGCCTTTCTTAAACAGCGCATAAGTGTAGCTATTATGAAGATAAATTATTAAATAGATTAGTTAAAAAAAATACAGATGTCCTTCCTTCACAACAGTTATATCTTGTTTGACAAAACGTACGAGCTCAACGCCTGCGCTGAAACTCACTTATTGTGGTATATGTGGGAATAGTACCGCTTTATTGTGAATCGTAACTCGACAAAACAGCAACTGATTTTGCTGACACTGTTTGTCAGCAACAATACGGACAGTGTCGCTAGGGACAAGCGCGCGTCCTTTGTACAAGGTCGAGGCATATCTCACATCATCCTTTCTTTAAAAAAAAATAACGAAAAAAAAAAATTTTCGAACGTCTTTAACGAAATTTAACAGGAATTCATAAAACATCGTATGGCTCGTGGTCGTCGGTGTAAATATACTTATTTTCCCTTTCTGTATCTTGGCCGGATCTGCATGCACGTTCAATGTGGCCCTTTCTGCCACATTTATTGCAGATGGCGTTTCTGTACCAGCATCGCTCGCGGACATGATTCTTCCCGCCGCAGCTGTCGCACGATCCTTTCTCTCTCGGCTTCGGAGGCTTATCATCTTCTGAATCTTCAGTGGAACTGGCGCTGACATTTGGCGCAGACAACTTTCCTTTGGACTGAACCTTGGTCTGAATCTTTCCATTGCTTCTTTTGGACTTCATCTTGGAAATCTTTGCAACTAATTCATTTCCGGAATCTTTCGTACTCTTTCTGGAATCTTCAAGGCCTTTCTCGCACCGCTTTGCGGCGTCCAGTGTCTCACTGAACGTCTTGTGTTCGTGGGTTAGTAGGTACAACCGCGTTGATTGGTTGTTTATGCTACGGATGAATGCCGCACTCAGGTTGTCCTCTACGACTTCAGCAGGAAATTTGCAGGTCGTGGTTTTATCCCGTAACCTTTCGGCAAATTCCTCCAGCGTAAGGTCACCTGGCACCATGGAATAAAAATCGGCCCATTCAGCTGCTCTGAAGGTTACTGTCGTGTAAGCAGTATCCAGCTTTACCAGTAATTCGTCAAGGTCGAATTCTCGAGGTCGTTTCGGCCGGCACAGTGAAACCAGCTTCTGGAACGCCTTCACTCCCAACGAATTCAACAGGAGACCTCGTTGTTTGTCTTTCGGCATTTCTGTCCATTCTATGAAGTTTTCGAACCTTTCCTTCCAGTTCTGCCATTCATCCTCTTCAGGATCAAATTTCAACAAAATCACATCATCCTGGTTAACTTTAGACATTGTACAGAGAATAGCAAAACGTATGCCGGTAGAAAAGGCAATAGTAATGAAACTAGTAATATCCAGTGGTCTACCCTTGATAAGTTCGGACTTCACGCCAATTGTGGTATATGTGGGAATAGTACTTACCGCTTTATTGTGAATCGTAACTCGACAAAACAGCAACTGATTTTGCTGACACTGTTTGTCAGCAACAATACGGACAGCGTCGCTAGGGACAAGCGCGCGTCCTTTGTACAAGGTCGAGGCATATCTCACACTTATCCAAACGATAAAAAATTTAAATATAAAAAAGAATTCAAAATTAATAGTGTAATTCGCGACCTTATGACGTGCATTCAGTGTACCCAAAACAGCTGCTCCATTTTCTCGGACTACAACAATTCACGACAAGAGCGTATAATTTTATGCTTACTATCTTTCAGCCCACTGGGCCTGTGCTTTAAAAGCCGGAGTAGGACAAAAATCTTCCCCCTCTGGATCAGACCAAACCCTTGTCACTTGAAGATTACGGCAAAGATCTCAAAAGTGTTATTGAATCGAATGGGATCTCAGTAAGATTTGTGTCTATTTATTCTGCTAAAAAGGGTCGTAAGAACAGCTTGTTTGCGAGTGTTGGTTCTTTTGCTCATGAGACTCAGACAAAATGTTTGCTCCGGAAAACTGGCCTCCTAACATTGGGGTGCGTGGATGGTTGTTTGCCCCCAAGGAGGGCCAGCAGTGTCAGTCTGTTTTTACTGTTTAAATTTTGAATCATTTTAGGTAGCTTTTACGGTTTTACCTCCGCAAGCATTGTTATCTGAATTGGCCATTGCCGAATAAAATGTTCAGCAAAATTTTGTACTTACATCTCCACGTGCGGCTGTCGCAACGCTAAAACATGTTCAGACATGCAGGCAGGCCCATGCATTTACAGCTGTTCAGTCTGGCAGATGCTAGCTGCAGGCTTAAACGTGAAACAAGCGGCTGCTTTGCAAATTTACATACGATAATACGAGTACGATTAAAATTAGTCTAGTGTCACTTTTTGGTGGTTTTGACTCACAATCAGTTTCGCTACGATCTACACTGTAAGCTGTTCGCGAATCTAATGCATCTAGCCCGATAAATTGTTCAGTTTCTTATTTTTACTTTGCGATTAAAGCAGGTGGGTGCACGGCGTTAACAAATCGCCCGCAGTAAGCATCACTAGTTGTTACGTGCAGCTGTCGAAAATGGCCTCAGGCAATCATCCGTGGAACTGTGTGGACGTGCTGGGCAACGACGGTCTCCTGCGTTACGGCCTTGTGGTAGATGTGGCGGACGAGGGGCTGTTCATCGACTTCCTCTGCCCGGATCGTCACCGTGAATTTGTCCCTTTCGACCGGGTCTACCTGCATGATGACCAAAAGTATCTGAACGAATACGATTGGATCCCGCCGTACTCTCCTCGGGAACGACCCGCCCAAGTCCTGCTGCGGGAGAGCGCATCGGGTGCGTTGACCTGGTTCCCCGCGAAAGCACTCAACGGGGGCCGCGCTATGGATCGCGCCGTGTTTTGTCTGGCCGTCGTCGACCGCGGGACACCGCGGCAGGAGTATGTCGATGTGGTTCCCGTGACGCGAATTCGCTGGATGTATGCAGAGGGCCGGCATGATCGCGATAAGCAGGATGAATACGTCGCGAAATGGACCTTTGTCAAGCGCACTATACCCTTGATGGAAGATTGTCCGGTGGAAGTGCTGACAGCAGTGCTGAAGCGACGGAAACCTGTAATGAACTGCTCGGGCGTGGGTCTGTATTCTGAATGGCATTCGGCCAGAGCCGGGGGCGTGGACATTGTGGACGGCTGCGCGGTGTACATTCAACGTCGATCCGATGATGTCGCGGAACCGGACGCTACTTATATAGCAAGAGAAATTGTAAGAATTGTTTCCGATCCGATGGCTGCGAAGGCCACAAATTAAACGTTTGTGCGTGCTGAAACACGCAATGATACACTCAATGTCATTAAAATTCAGCGAATCGTGCTATATTCTAGTCATTGTAACATGCAAATAATTTAATGCAGTGATACGATTTTGCAGGAAGCCCTCGACACTTATCACAGGGAGTTAGTTGCTTCCGTCACAGGACTGGCGAAATCATGGTTCTAGTATGAAGCCGGTGTGTTGTCGATCGAATTGTGGACGGAGGTCTTCTCGTGTTTGGACACAGTAACGCAGACCCGGCTGCGCCTGGTATGCCCCACATGGAACGCCATTCTGGAATCCGCTGTCGTGCGGAGCAGTGTCGTCCTCAACACCGCGGCGTGCGTGCGGTCAGATCCCTGCTTGTCACGTGCTCACAAGTATCGGATGATCGCCGCTCTTTTCAATTGTGTCTCATCCTCCACACAGCGCATTACTGTTGCTGACCGACTTCAGCGCAGCAGCGAAACAGACGTAGTGGAAATCTTCGACATCCTTAGCCTCATTGCCCAGCGCAATCCCAGCATCAGGTTGAAAGCTGTGACGTTGTGCGGGCAACATTGCTCTTTGCCAGGCAGTGCGTATAACGACCAGCCGCAATCCGAATGTCCACGGCATCGATCCGTTGCGGGTGTCGCCGGCCAGATTGGGGAAGATCTCGCTCTGAGATGTCGCCAGCTTTCCTTTGATACTGTCCATCTGATACGATGCCTGCTCACGCTGGAATGCAGGGTGACCACCCGCTACTACAGACGGGGTCCTTTGAGGCTTCGTACGAGAGTTTATGTGGACCGATACAGCCATGATACTGAGGATTTGTGTGGCGCGCTGTGGGGTGCCATGGAAGAGGAGGTATTAGCGCCCAGTGCCACGGAATTGAGCCGGCTGTCTCGTTGGTTGAGGACGTTTCGAGGACATGTCGAGTTAACGAGACAGGCGAGAAAATACGTGGCAATGATCTGCAAGGTAAGCCTTAACCCGATTACTAATGCTACGGTGGAAGCGGAAAATGTTCCACTAGCAACGAAGCGCTTTGGGAGACTTAATTTCAATTTGGTAAAAAAACTTTACAGAAACGCTTTGCAGAAACCTAATTTTCTAGAAAAACTTTACAGGAACATAACTTTTTAGGAAAGCTTTCGAAAAGCTTATGAAAACGCTGTACGGGAACCTTGTTTACTAGAGCCGGTTTTACATAAACCTGATTTATTAGAAACATTTTTAAGAAACTGCTTTTTTAATGTGAATTTATTTCGACAACAGCCAGTATATATAACAAAATGCCTGCGCTGATTTACACTAATAAAAATGATTGAAAAAAAAACTGATTTTTTCTGATTGGAGAGATGCATGTGTACTTTTACTGCTTTTCTTAAACAGCTGCTTTTACTTTTACTGCTTTTCTTCCCATGCAGCTGTATGATACAGCTGCATGGGATACTAAGCAGAAGACAGATTAAAGCATTGACTGGTTTTAATGCATCAGTTATTTTGTTTGCCAGCGCTTGTACGAGTAGCTCATACTGTTGGTGGATATACATATTGCTCTTCTAAAGTTCTATTTTCTTAAATTTATGGTCTTGTAAAGCTATCTTACGAGTATAATGTTGATGTTCTTCTCGTAGACGTTGTGCGCGACACAGACGGCGGATCCCCGTCCATCACTGCATTACCGCGGGAAGAAGTGGTGTGTGGACGGTCTGCAGGGTGTCAAGCTGGAGAAGCTGTCGCCCGTTGCTCTGCACTGCCTCATGCAACTGATGCAGCGTCTGCCGTACTAGTGGTTCCTGCTCTCTCGAATGTTGCGCCATTCCCCAGTGCGTGTGGGGATTAATCCACAAACAAACAGCAGCGTGCCGCGCAAGTTTGCCTCAACCCCACCTTCGATCTGTCGCTGGTGCTTTTCCACTTGTTTTACTTTCCTTTGGCTTGTTTTCGCTCATTACTTCTTTAGTTTTAACAACTTTCTGTATTCTGACCGTTTGTCCATTGACTTTTGAAACGATTGATACGATTTTAATATGGCACCCTCTTGTCCGCAGATTTGTTGAGTACGAATAGTCGATGCCGTTTCACAAGATTTCAGCGTTTCGCAATATCACAAAGCACGCGCATATATTTACCATTTCTACGGCAAATTCACAACACTTTGTCGAAATGAAATTAGTCTAATTTTTTTCCGACTTCAAAGGCAACCCAGTTTGGAATGCTAGTGCAAAATGCTAGTGCAAACTTCTTGGAAATATGCGACCCAGCTGAAAAGACCCGTATTCGCTCAGGCAAAATAACATTTTGTAGTCAGTGACACAATAGAAAAGGTGATCGATCCCATATAAAATCACTGCGGTGCGCAGCTCCTGCGACATTGGTTCTCCCTCGGCCGTGGACTGTTTTTAAATCGGCGCCAGCTGTTGGAGTGTCCAAGCGCGATGTTGCGGGAAGGTGCGCCGTTCGGTCGGTGTCCATGTGCGCCAACGTCCGTGCCTTTTCAGCCGACAGCGACTCGACAAGCCCTTAATTCGCGCTTGTTTATCTGAATGCTGGCGCCGTGGGCTGGAAATCTGATGACGCTGGCCTGTCCACTGCCGGGAGCGCTTGACGGATTGGCACTGGCAAAGCCGGTAGTGTTTGAGGTGAGCAGCAAACGCAGGAAGCACAGGATATCATGAGCCATCACTTCGACGAAGCCAGAAGGTATCCATCAGGCCTTTTCCCTGTCAAAAATTACATTAGCCCTTTTTCTTTGTAGGCAGACGCTCTGCAGACCAGTTAATTAAGTAGCCCGAACCTTGATTTCAACCCGGCCGCGTGGAGAGCAATGCAGGGCTTTGCTTGTGTCCAGAAGGACCTTGGACGGTCCGCTGGTCTGCAAGCGTTGAGCTAAACAAAGACAATTACCAACCGAAGACAGAGAGAGAATATGCGATAGCAACGGTCACAAGTTTGACCCCGGTCATTTGCACACACACTGATCGTGGGACACGGCAGCATTTGCAGGGGGATCGACATCGGCCTGACCAGGCAGTGATCAAACTAGTGACCGTCGCTACAGTACTCACGCAGAGATGTGCTGGCCATCCGCGATGCCATGTTAACCGTGTCGCCGAACCTGCAACGCAGTCCGTCAACGAGCAGCCACGGATTTTATTCATGGTAAGATTCATCCTGTGCAGCGCACACTTACAGGCAGTAGCGCATCATGCGCAGCCCAACCAGTCCGGCAGCCACGGCACCTGTTGCAAATATCCGTCAGAAGCAGCACAACGTTAGGCAGTGAGATGTTGTACCAGAATGCAGTCCCATCTGCAGTTGCAGCTGACGACCGGCGAAACGTCGATGCTCGGTCAGCATCAGGGCGCTGCAACACAGGAGACCCAACTGCTCTGCGTGCTGGTTGCCATTTCGCTCCGGCACGCCACTGGCGAGCTGAAAAATGATTACCGACGGTAACCGACGAAAAAGCAGGGCCAAAATGTTTCGCGCTGCATCGTCAAATAAACCAAGGCGTTGACAGAAATGGGTTCTTGGATAATTGTTCCCGTTTCTGCCTGTTTTATACTAGGACACGTTTGTCAAGCTTGAAATTTAACTCAGATACTTCACTTTGGACAACCGCTTGTTCTCGCACACTTTAATCGGAGTACTTAATAAAGTTGTTCAAGTTCTGACCGGCATTTATAACCGTTAGGGAGCCTGTTAGGGCGCCTGAACAAGTGATATCACTAAAGGCCAACAGCTGCACTGACCATGTAGCTGTCTCCAGTGGTCTCCACCTTGTACACGTCGTACGCGCCAATCAGTTGGTCGAAGACCGAGAAGAACTCGTTGAGCAGTGCCACGCAATTATACGGCGTCATTCCAGCGATCAACTGGCCGAAATCCACGACGCCGCTGAAAGCCACCGAGCAGTTGGAGAATACTTCCGCCTCCACGCTCCTACCTCGCACCAATGCTTCCACGATACTTCTGAAACCGAACCTTTTTACTGCCTTTCATGCCACTAAACTACGTGCTCTGTCCTACCCCGGCAGCATGTTACGCAAGAGATCCTCCGACTTTTTCTTCTCAGCCAGCAGTTCCTCCGTCCGATCCGCCACCTGCTCTTCCAGCGTCTCCGCGTAGTCCCGTAGTTTCCGCACCACCAGTTCCATGAAGTTTTCTCCGACTTTCAGCCCACTAATCGCAGCCAAGGACTGTTTGATCGACCCAATTTTTGGCCGATGGCGGCTGTCCTCCGCCCAGCACTTCTCCATTAACTGTACCATTTCCGCGGAAACCGTGGAGGTCTCTACCGCGGGGCGATAAGGTACCTCTGAGGGATTCTTCACGGACAGGATGATTTCTGCGTCCGACAGGTCGGAAGCGAAAGGCCGGGTCATGAATAAAACTTCGTGAAAAACAATCCCTATTGAATATATGTCCGCTTCAGCCGTCGCTATCCGCGGAGAACGGAGGACCTCCGGCGCCGTCCACAGCAAGTCGTGACAGTATCCCATTGCCAGCGTCTCCCGGATGCGGCAGAGCTGTTCAGCGGGGAAGCCGAAATCGGTCAGCTTGATGGACAACCGATTGGTTACCATACAATTTCGGCTTTTTAACGCGCCGTGGACCCTTAAGTCCGCTGTAGCGTGGATCACCGAAAGACCCTAAACATAACATACACGCCTCAGTCTGGCCGTTAATGCAAGGGAGCGTTTTGATAACAAGTGCCTACGTTGACAATGTCGGTAAGGAAGATATTCTTCAACTGCCCGTCCAACCATGCAGGCCTCAGTTCAACGACGTCATAGAGAGATCCTTTGGTAAAGTACTCGGTTAGCAATAGCAAACGGTCGCCGTCTAATACAGTCCCGAGGAACTCTGCCAGGTTGGAATGCTTCACTCTCCGGCGCTAAGAAAGTCACACTATTCGTTCCGTTGCTAGAGGTTGCATCATCAGTAGGACGTACCATGTTGGTGTCGCGGACAAAGTGCCGTGGTAATTTGCCGCTGACTTTGGTCAGCGTGTCCATCTCGCGGCACCATACAAAATGGCCGCGGTAAATTCCCACGCATCCATGATGACTGGGCCGGTCAACCGGCATCGACGCACGGTTCATCGTCTACGCCAAAATCAAATAAAATGTTGCTGTTATTTTGATTTCGTCTACATACTTATACAAAGAATCACTCTTAATTGACATTTATTGGCTGTCGATTTGTATGTATGCACCGATCTAAGGTTTCCGATAACTCACATGAGATTTGGTGAGCACAGAGAGTGTCTTTGGCGTTCGAGACGAAAGTACCTGCACTTCGGCGGGCGACACCCGCCAGTCGACGCTGTTGGACCGCTGATACCTTAAAATGGTATGTTTCTTCGGTAATCTACACACAATCTAATCTGAAACCTGTACAAACCGAATCCAAGCGCATCCTGCCATGAGAATAGCGGATATGCATCCGATGCTGGCCGCGACGCCTATTCCCGCTAATGTCAAGATATTCGGCTCTAGAGAAAAAAGCTGCAGTGAATAATAAACGGTATACGGACGCTAAATAAGTGCTACCGTTCCGACAGCGCGGATCTTCTCCCTTGAATCCGCACCGCGGCCGATTCGCCGGCGCCGTAGCATTCACCGGCCAAGCGGTGCCGTTGACGCTAATCAAGCCGCCGGTCTCCGGAATCCAGCGAAATGCCACCTGCGTTCATCGTATTTCACTGGGAGTTTGCATTCGGCAGAATCGAAATTTATACTAGAAACCATACTTGGAAATCTTCGCTGTCATCCAGCAACGCCTTCACACCGTAATCCGTATCCAAATCTCCGTTCCCGTTCACGTGCATGACACCCATCTGCGTGGTGAAACTGCGGTTGTACGTGTAGTACGCCATATCGATTCCGCTAACCGGCGCGGGCGATCCATCACGGCTTGTATCAGGGTAGAGCGTCGCCAGCACCTGCAACGCGACAAGCGGATCATTTTCCCATGAATCAGCTCCTGGGAATTGTAATACCAAGACTACGTAAAAACTATTCACTACACAGTATATTAATTTGTTTTTAGCCCGATAGTGGTACGCTTGGTTTCAGGAGTGGACGAGACATGGAGACTCACAGTACTAACAGTACTATGAAAGTGACTGTTTGCTTTATCTCACAGAAACAGGAAAAACGCAGGCGAGAAAGAAGCAACGTGCGTTTTGTGAAATGTTTGCGCACTTCTCCCATTAGCCAAAGTTCAATTAACGGGATCGGCTTCGAGTTCGAACTCAGACGGATGTCCCCGGCTCACTAACGAAGCCGGGCCACTGTAGTTGAATGTTGTATCGTAATAAGGCAAATTAGATAAAGCGTTACCTGAGCTGTGACCTGCACCGCCAGGTAGTATCCGCTGGCAAACAGCGTCACCTGCAAATTTTGGACTGTCTGAAGTCTGAACTATGTCGACGCTGCATAAGAAAGGGATCGTCTAGTGACCTCTTCGTCTGGTTCATAGCGCAATCCGTAATCAGTCCAACTGCGCTCTTTGATGCGTTGGTACAGCGCGAGAGCGGCTGTCTGTCGGTTGGGAATGGAGGAGATGAGCAGGAGGTAGCGGTAGATGCGGTGGGCTGCCTATTCTCATGCCGGCACATAACGAATTCTCTTTAGCCGCAACATCAGATCGCTAGAGGATTAACGGTCACTCACGGCATCATCGGCGTTTCCGTACTTCCACGACGTTTTCCCGACGAACGGCGACACAAACGGAGCTAGCGCGATGAACGCCTGTTGGAAACAGGAACTGAACGGGACGGGAGAGATGCCACATAAATTGACGGTACTTACGAATTCCCCATTAGGCATGCCCAGTTTGTCGGCCACGAGCTAGTCAGAAATCTTGTTTTGAACAGAAGATGCGCAAGATATCTGGCGGTGATCAGACTTACCAGAAGCTGGCGCAGGCGGGAGGCGTGCGTGCTGATAACGAAGACTGCAAGAGAAAAGCAGCATAATTAGTGCTCCTTATCATACGATGCAGCACTTCGACGGTTTTCGCATTATGGACATTTTTACAGTATGGATCAGCGTACCGGACATCAGAGAGACGGCATTTGTTCTGCGCAGTTCCACATTAGAAAGCTTGATAAATTCTTATTAGACTCGTGTACAAGCTTGTCTGTAAGAACTATTTATCACGCAATCAGTTTTTGTCAAGTTCCTGTCATGTGCACAGTGCACGTGTACGGAGAATACCGCAGTTCTGGTCCGGTACGCGATTCTTTATTGTGAAAATGCGATGATTGCAAAAAATGTCGAAGTATATGGATTAGTGTTCCTTACTCATGGGATGCAATAATGCAATGCTACGACAGAGGCTCTGTGAACTCGCAGTCGTTGAACCACTAATATCCTAATTTAAATAATTTTTTCACGTGCAGAGCAAAGGTTACCAAAGCCAAAGAGCACATGACAGGTAAGCAAAAATCGATGGTGTATGCGCTTAGCTAATATTTATGTCGCATGACGCATTAATAAGGCTGTTTGCTGGGCAAACGGCGCTTTCGCGTGCCGGCTGCATAATTTGTTCAACTTGGGATAGCTCATTCAGTGCTGAATGGGAGATTATAGCTATTATGCCAAGAGAATAATGCGCTTCTCTGCTGAATGTTGCATAACATCCGGCTCCAGCTTTTTTATTTGTTTATCCAAGCATTTCGCGGTTTCCATCTACTGTATGTGAGCGCTTATTAATTATCCGTTCACGTCGAAAATCAAGGGCACTGGCAAACTGCGCGCGAAACCTTTAGCAGCAACGATTAGTGGAGCGACGCGTAACACTTCCAGTAAATTAATGGACGGATGATTTCGTTAGCGGAAAAAGTAGGACACTCTTGAAAACAGCCCCATTACTCGCACACGCAAATAGCAGTACTGCATTGCTTAACCGGAATCTAGTCTGAACTTACATAAAATTATTTGTTTTAAAAATTATGCCGTCGCTTTTTTAAAAATGTTTTCTGCAATAATGCTACCGTTAACTGAACAACTTTCCGTTCTCTTATAATTAATTTTTAGCATCAAACGTACCGCGCGCCGAACGCGCTGCTTCCGTCAAGAAACGTCGGTGATCCGGGTTATTCCGAAAGTTGTATTTGAGGTACACAGGCGCGATGCCGGGCGTCTTCTTGAAGTAGACCGGCAGCACCTTGCAGCTGACGCCGAAAGCGTTCAGTTCCGTCGCGCCCTCGTCGCAGAAGAAGGCAGTGTTCGTCCAGGCGTAGTAGCGCAGCAGCGCCATGATCACCTCCGCCAGCATCTGCTGATAATATGGACTCAGCCGCAACAAACTGGGGAAGCGCCGCTTGTCGTCCAGCACGGTATCCGAGCCGCCACTATCCAGAAAATTAAGCGGCATAATGCGACAGACACGCACGGGGAATTGCGACCAATTATACCGCCACTTACGAGGTCATCACAGGTACATTCCACTCTAAAGAAACCGCATCATTCACAGAATTTATCATCGACACAATCGGAAGCAAAAAGGTTATGCAAGTGATACTCAATTAAATAATATTTATATATTATCGTACTTTGGTTTTTCTAGGAGTAGGTAAAACGCTTTTCATGAAGTACTTCGAAAAAAGAATAGGAGAAGAGCGTCATATAAATATACTATGCTCGCATTGATCTGCAGGGCGTTACAATCACGTTTGAATGCAGGAAAAATAATTTTAAAACTGCCAAATAAATTCGTAAGCTGTTGAAAAGATCCATCATTAAAAGAAAATAAAAGCACAATAAAAACGAATAGCAACTTTTGTTTAGTAAAATTTTAAGAGACGTTTTCTGAGCAAGAAAATTTAGAAAAACCAGAAGCTTTTGAAAATTAACTGTATGAATTACGGACAAGGAGTGTATCTTCTGTAAAATCATAAGAAAAAAGCGCATAAATGGTTAAAAAAATCGAAGCATGCGAACAAAAAAAGGTGTAAAAAAAATTGAAATTTTATATACACACCTCGTGCGAGATCTGCCAGGTAAACCACCGCTTCACTGCACGCTGCAACACACGTCGGTAATAAAAAAGCACCACTTCAAAAGCAGCTGTAACGGTAATTACACGGCGACAAGATAACGAAGACGTCATCGGGGGAACGTCGCCAGCTGCCGCGCAGATACACGTCGGTAGCGTACGGCACCACCTCCACCTGCACATCGGCGCAAGTGCGCAGCGCGGGCTTGTTCCAGCCGATCACGGAGAAACTGTCCGTCTGGTTGGGCCGCGCGTTGACCTCCTCGATGGCCATGGCGATGGGGGCGCCAACGTAGTCGATACTGTAGGGGAGCGATGTCCACGCGTGCATCGACAGGAAGACCACCCGGCGTCCGTCGTAATACGGAAACGCCCAGATAAACAGCAGCGCTGTCAGCAAAAAGGAGCATACTGTCATTATTTCCAGCCCTTGCGATGGACGTTGGCGGTGTCTAGTCAACGAACGACAATTGCAAGTGTGCGCTTCGTAAAAAAATACAGCGATTGCAAAAAAGATAGAGTCGTGCTACCACTGAAGCGACGCAATTTTCGGTCACTGATGTTTGATTAGATGGCAATCTCTAGGGTAGGGTTTTAAAAATACTCTGTAACTCATTGAACTGTTGTTTGTGCATTGCACAGCTACCACAACTAATCAGCCGACAATTCCCAGGATACTGGCGGTAGGGCGATAAAACCGGTGTGTTACATATTGCCGCAGATGCTGTACTCTTAGTGCAGATACCTGTATCTATGGAAAGTTGATGGGTTTCGTGACCGCCTGGTTGTTAAGTATCTGTACAGTCAACTGTAACAAACTGTACCTATGATTGATCCCGTGTTCGACGTCAGTCAAGCGTTGTCTGTATCGATCTTACTGCTAGCTGAATCGCGCCGTGCGCAAGTCGGCACCGCGCTACGACGTTAAGAAAAAAGGAAGAGCGGCTACTGAAGGGGTTGACTGTGCATTGTCAGTTTTTTTATATGTTTGACATGCATAAAACATATGTGATGCGGAGAAACACCTGCTGTTTCAAGCAGCTGGACTTTTTATGCACAATCCGTATACGCAACTTGCAGTATACCATACCCGACTTGCAGAACCCGTACGCAACGTTTGTAGTGTGGCTTGTTTAAATAATTAATGTCTGGAATACAGAGTATCTGGTGTTATGTTGGTTAACCGCAACGCGCAGCTATGTACACCATGCCGAATAGTTGTACATTTTTCTGTTTCGTTCCGATAACACGCCAGTTTATTCGCACCTTTATGTAAGTAATATATCTGATTATGGACATTTCCGCTGTGATCTTCTTTACAGTGACGATAAGTGTACAGACCGTACAAGGTGTAGTAGTCGTAACATTAATGAATAAAGTACATGATATTGCGGCCATTGCCTGAAACCACGTTTTTGTTGTGTTATTTTGCTGTCCTCAACAGCACCAGCAAAATTAGTAGTTCGCTCTATACCGGACTACAATTTTTGAAAACACCGTGAAGGTATTTAGGCAGAATGCTGGGTAGAAGCGCTTTCACGTTCCCAATAAATCCCGCGCGATTTGCAAAATAACAATTTTGCAGTATTAGACACGATTTTTCGCGAAAATGCCAGCATGACGATGTCTTTTGAAGAGCTTTCAAGAACGAGAAATTCCTTATACTGCTGTTGTCGACAGTACAGAAATTTTTAGCACTTTCGCGTTAACGATCATTCTCACTCATGTTAATATGACTGTACGACGACGAAGATGTCACGTCACCTCGATTTTCTGCCGGTACTGCGCAATATGTCGCATGACATAGCAGCCACAACTCCAGTTCGCAAACCTGTTGATATACAGTAATATTACAAGGCACGACAATCGAACATATGTCAATAATGATTATCATTTCACCGTCATCGTCTTTAAATTACGGAGCTGAACGCTTCTATCTCGTGAAGGCAAACTGAATTTTGCCTCCCGCGGGAAAATTACACATTATGGCACACAAGCCAGTTAGCCACCTTCGACGATTTACAGTGTTAAACATGGGACGATATGGAGGTTTCCTCAAATTTCACTTTGGTAATCTGTGCGAAAGTGAATACATGAAAGGAAGCGATTCACGTTATCGGGATAGCGGAAATCAAAATGACCCAGATTGAGTTGGACACGAGCGAAGAAGAGTTGTAATGCCACTGTGCTATATCAAGCAAGCGGTTCCGACGGCGATGAAAACGAAGACAGCAATCGGAACTACGGACTGTTACTGCTAGTTAGAAGACCCTTTACCAATGTCGATAAATTCCTTCATCCCGTGAACGAAGATAAGACGGACAGCAGCCAAGCTGAATTTCGTTATAAATGCATTGAATTCAGCTAGGTGGGCTTGCCTCTTTGGATATCGCAAGTCAGATGATGATGAATCGATGAAAGGCTTCATTACTTGCTTACCGAAAGCTTTGGCGACCAGTACAAAAAGGAGCCACACGTGCATTTAGCGATATTCGGCGATTCCAACATCCTTCGCAAAATTACACGCATATCTGAGCGATGCGTTCATTTTGTATATAACAACGCGCGATATGGGGGAGGTGTCGCAGAAGCGGTCCATAACGTGGAGAGAAGGGTGCATGTAGAGGATACCATATTTACCCGTACAAAAGTGTATGGTGGGAATGCACCGGATTATTTCGGGTCGGCCTACTTTACCTTTGCCCGCCCTTTGCCTTTCCACTTTGCCTTTTTCCGCTTTACCTTTACTTTTACCTTTGCCTTTGCCGGCAAGATTACCTTCACCGTCCCGGGTGGCCTTTAAAAACACCGTTTCAAAAGCTTGTCTCGTTAATTTAACTTCTAAAAAACTAGCCACTCTACAGTTTGAGAAATGCGACTATCAGCACAGCACAGACATTCTTTGTGCTGTTCGAAGCATAAAATACTGTATACTCGCACTTCCAGTTTTATTATTCCGCTCTCCACGAAAAATGCCATAGACACTCACATTATACAATAGTTCGTTTAGTATCGCACTAGAACATAAAATAACGTTGAAGCACGGTAACGTATATATCCTTGTACCGGTACTGAAATTATTTCTTTGTTAGGCAGTTAGTTTCTTTATGGTACTTGTATGAAACTGTAGACGTTTTAACAGTTAAACCAAATCTGCAGATAGAAGTTTTCTTACATGTGTGCGGTAATGGCCAGTAAATGCGCATGCTTAATTTTTAACGCATCGAACAGCGACAGAAAGTTGCATTTTCAGACGGTAAAGTGGCGACGGCAAGATTTTAAACTTTAAAGGTTAATTTACGGGAAGGGCTTTGAAACGATGTTTCCAAAGGTCACCGGGACGGTGAAGGTAATCTTGCCGGCAAAGGTAAAGGTAAAGTTGAAAAGGGCATACTGAAAAGGCAAAGGCAAAGGGCGGGTATTAAAGGTAAAGTGGAAATAGGCAAAGTGGAAAGGTAAAGTAGGCCGACCCATTATTTCGGAATGACAGACCATGCGCAGTATCAAGACACTAAAGTACAGGAGCTCCGATTCAAGAATTTCGATGGCAATTTATCAGACCATCTCGTGCTTTGTCAATATCCTATAACGGAAGTGTACTTGTACAGTGAGTGTACAGAAGCGGCGTGCATGGAAATGGACAGCCCATTTAAAGGACTAATGTTTACACGCGAAAACATGATCAAGCACTGCGCAGGACATTCCCCAACAAAAGGCTTTTGCTCTCACTGCCACCACTATTGTTACCAGACCGATGGCAGTCTGTCGGGGAACGACGCGCATATTGGAGCGTGCAACTTCGCATGGCGTGTCAAGCCTATTTTTCGGAACCAACAGCGCATCAGCCAAAACAAGGAATTTAGAATTCGGTGCGTCTATCAGCAGCCAGACTCTGCGAAATTTTGCCACGAGCTGCTGTCACCGGTGGAGCTGGAGGAGCATCGCACAGACATTCATAAACTGAAATCGTGGAGGCGGTTTTAATGCCGTAAGGAAGACTGCATGGTGCTCGAGCCAACACGGAAGATATTAGAAACTCGCAACAATTACAACACCCATGTTCGTAACCACATACCTCAAACACTGGACCACATTCCCTGTCCTTGTTGCTTGTTATTTTACTGTCGATCTAAAGGCAAAAAAAAGCAGAGGGGAAAACGAGCAAAGGCGAAAACAAGGAAGGAAGGATAAAGTATAAAACAGAACAAGCTGAAAACATCCCGGAAAAGGGCAAAACGGCAAACAAGGGATACAAGCCAGAAGAATTCTTGGGGATCATCCGGGAGCAGAAATGTCTGTTTGAAAATCAGAAAGTAACGGATAAGACGTATAAAGAGACGCTGGAAAAGCTAGCTGCGTATTGGACGGCGGAAGAGAAAAAAGAAAAAGAAGGTAACAGTCCAGTCGCGAAGCACACCAGGAGCAAAGACCCACAAACGGACCAACCAGAATCAGAGGAAGAGCCGCAGCCGTCCACGAGCAGGTATCAACCAGAATCGAAGTCAAAAGCCGATTCCTCTACAAGCGAAGACGAGGGTCAGTCCGACACAGAATTTGAACGTGCGTTATCCAACAGCGAGGATGGCACAGGCTGATTACTATTCTGACCCTATGCTCAGGAATGGTGATACATGAGGCCGAATGACAATAAAGTGTTTTCCCGAAACCCAGCTACTTGACAATACTACCCGAAGAAGCGTAAACTAAATGGTATCAGTGTGCGTAAAGACTGAAAACTTAATAATGTCATTGTTCCAATGTTCACGCTTCATACTCAACAAATAGCTGGTAATCTCACAAGCTTGCATTAAATAAGGGAGGCAAATTGTCGGAGACAGAAGTGTCTGCCAAAAAGAGGGTTTGAACTGAAGGGATTTCGAAAGCTGTTTGGGTCTTTTTTTCTTATAAATAGTATGCCTAATTTTGTCGCCTTTGCATGTGAGACTTTTGGCACTTGGTGTGAGACCGGCATTGTAACGTTAAAGGAGATCGGTAAGTTGTTTTTAAGGACGGGTGAGAGTCGCTCTACTTGTTTTTTGTTTCAGCGTTTAAGTTTGGAGATTATGCGTGGTAATGCAATGAGTGTATTGTGCACGGTCCCTTCCCATGTTAATTGGGACAAATTCTTCATTTGATCATGTTTGTTGAGCGAAGCTGGCCTTGCACATATTGAGAAATTAAATTATTATATTGTATACCTAAACCTTGCTGACGCACAAAGTAACTTATTGAAGAGGGAATGTATAACATTCAATCATTCATTTTCAAATAGTGACCTTAGAAAAGCATAACATACTAAAAGTGTTATTTCTGCTGCAGTGAGAGACCAGTAGGTCGACAAAATTCACGTTCGCGAAAGCAAAAGTTTCATTGTAAGTATGTCTGCAAAACTGGTGCCTTGTACTCAACGATTACTCTTAACCGGATTGTGCATATCGGTTTATTTGCAGACCATTATTATGTGGCATGTGCAGTTGTGCATTAACCTGAAATTGCCTATGGTTGAAATGTTTTGTGTACCTTAATGTCCTCCAAATGTTTCACCGGCAATTTACATATAGATATACGGTACATGCACGGCGTAAATCGAAACTTGGGACGTTATAACGTAACAGCGAACCGTATTGTACATCTCCTGCTGGCTTTAAGCAGCTCCGGGCTACTGAAGCGGCAAGAGGCTGACTGGTTTCAACAACGTTCATCAACTGGCAACTACTACGTACGAGCAGGATACGTATGACTTCATTGCTGCGGTTCTCACTGGCAAATTGGGCGAACTTGCCACGTTAGACGGCGTTTGTTGTTGCTTCTGTCTGCTCATTAATGCGCCGGCCCACTTTGCTAATGAACTGCTTGGTACCACCGCCGCAGCTTCCAACAGTTTCGAAGCCCACTGGTTGGAATAACGAAATTAACCGTGTGTCCCAAATATAACGGCTTCTCTTTCCGGGAATTCTGCGGCTTAAAGCACATGCAACTGTAACTGTGTTTTAGAGTTGCCTAAAAGCGTTTGCAGTCTGCAGCAACAGTCTCAATTTTCGCCGAAACCGATACCTGCAAAGCAGCTCAATCTGATTAACAAAAACAAAAGATAGCAACACACGCCAGAAATGGAAATGAAAAACAGAAGGGGCGGAACAACTAACAGCGCGGGAAAATCCCTCCAGCGATTGTCCTTCCACAAGCCGACATGTAAACGATAAAAGCACGAAGGACGAAATTGGGAACTTAATTAAATTTTAAAGTCAAGATCAAGCTAAGGTCAAGTCAGCCCTCATCAGTGCTGCATGTTGCGATCAGTGTTGCATGTTTCTTCGTATTGACAATTTTGCTTGACGTTATGCGTTGCTGCGCTGACTACGAATGCTTGTCGCACTGCACGCAACGTGCGTATTATGCAGTTTCCGGTAGAATAATAATGAGCACATTCTCCTTATTCTACACGAATTAAGGTGGAATGCTACCCGCATGTAGTACGGGTATAGAGTAGGTTACACTCGTAACGTATTCGTTCTCGTAACGTTCTCATGGCAGCAGTTATCACAATGAACCTTTGCCTATTTAAATGCAGATTAATTCTACATCGGCTAACGACAAATGACAATATCTCACGCAGTGACGCAGCTGGTGTTCGATTACGGGAAAAGCGGGGGCGTTTCTGGAAAATATTAAAGCAGGTTTACCACAGGTTTGGTTCAAACTTGGAGAAGAGGTGCGGCTGAACTCCTAGGAGAAATCCGAGAGATATATAGGTAAGTAATCAGCCAGATCCATCGGTAAACCCGAAGGCACTGAATCGTATAACGCCTAATCTTCTACAGCGGACCGCAGTAAAAATATTTTTCTCACGACAAATGTCCAGGGAATTCAGCCATCGGCACGGATATAATAAATATCTACCTCAAGCCTGGTATACCTGCTACTTATACCAACCATAATAACTAAAGCAGTGCTTATTTGATGGTAATTAGTAGTAATAGTAATTTTCTCTGGTGAAATAAACTGACAATTTACGGAAAGCGCGTGGTGTCAGCGCTCCTGGAATGTAAAGCAAGCTTACTGAGCGGAAGTCGTAAATTTAAAATTACGCACTGCAAAACGACGCCCTATTGACGCAATGAATACAACGGCTGCCAATTCTTCCCTGGGTTTCATCCAGAGTTTCACATATCTCCAATGGCTGGCGTCCTTTTCCTGTCTAACCTCTCTTACCGGCAATTTAACGCTACTGTACCTGTACTACCGCACCCGCAGCATTATAACACCCTTCAGCGTCGCCGTGATCAACCTGTTGATATCCAACGTAATCAGCGCCATTTTCCAGCAGAACCCTTTTCTTCTGGGAGTGAAGAACCTGCTGTTGCCCAGTTACTGGCCGAAATTCTGCACGTTCTTTCGGTTTGTGTCAACGGCCACCGGCCCGTTAATTCCCGTGGCACATATGCTGATCACGCTGAACCGGGTGTGCGCCATAACGTGGCCCGTCTTCTATCGTGCGCAGCACACCAAGAAAATGGCCGTGCTGACTTGTCTGGGTAGCTGGATTGTCGTGCAGTTGTATGCCGTCCCGGCTATCACCGTTGACGCTTTTCTGTATCTGGATCGCATGGACAACATCTACTGCACCTTTCGCGATCCCACGCCGGTACAGACACAGTGGTTGCCGGCTTACAACTGGCTGTTCTATGTTCTGCCAGAAATGGCCGTCGCAGCAGCGTACCCGTATTTCCTCTTCAAGAGACGCACACTCAAAACTTCGCCGATGAACGCCAATCCAGACTCCCATCCGGTCCACACCATATCAAGCCATATAGGCTCGACACCGTCATCAAAACAGGCAGCAGGAAAGCGTCCTTCCATTCCCATCACGCTACTCTCGCTGATGACCTTTAGTATTGTGATCTGCTGGACGCCGATGAACCTGTATTTCCTTGCCGCACCGTACCTGAATAGTATGGCGTTCCTGCAGGTCTGCCGGATGTTGAAGCTCATCCATATGACGATCGACCCCGTGATATTTGGAGCGGCAGTGCCGGAGCTGCGAACGCAGGCTCGCCAACGTATACAGGCAGCACAAACGTGGTTATCCACAAAGTCATTCTCGTTTTGTTATACACCGTTTGTTAACCACATTCAAGGAATCCGTAACCGGACTCAGACTAGCACCAGTGTTGTTTTCCATCGTCATGAATTGTCTCAGTGACCCGGACGAGAAGCACTGCGTTTAACGGGCTCTTGAGCGTAATGCTAGTTTTGCGTATTCGCACATGAACTGTCCCTGTTGATGTCATTACGAATACGGACGCTTTGCCTTACACACCGTAAAACGCATGCTGTGTTCGAATGCGATAAGTAGCACCAAAACTGTTATGAAAAACAATGCAATTCTGACCGTAATTCAGCCTGGCCTTTCGAGGCAACGACGATTGAGTTGACCTTTGGCTTGACCTTAACCTTAACGCTTGACCAATTGCAAGTTACGCTTTACGCTTTTACCGTTAAAATGCGTCAGCTTATGAAATATTATCGCACTCGACCTTGGCTTAACCTTAACCTTAACGTTTAATCAATTGCAATGCTTTTTATATTATGCTTTTACCGTTATATGCGGCGGCTTATGGAAGGATTACCGCTGCCTAGCCTTTTCCCCGCGCTTGTGGCTGTTCCCACCTCCTCTGTTGTTCAGTTCTCTTTCTGGCCTGTTTTGCTGTTGTTCCTTTCTTTTAATCAGATTAAACTGCTGTTCTGGTGTCTGTTGCGGTGAACGTTGCGGCGACGGCTGCAGATGCTTTTGGGCATAAATCTGTACAGCAAATACAACTACGCTCAAATACGTTTTGCAGTATTTACATCAAGACCTGGATACTACATGCACCGTGCGGTTAAGCCAGGACCGCGTTCATGATCCAAATGTATGCATTACACGGCGCTTGCCCAAAAGTGGTATAAAATTTCCTTTGGCGGCAGGCAAATTAAACCGATGTATTACAGGGCAGTATCGCAGCCTCATTTTCTACTCAGTTGTACTGTATTACCGGCGACCGGTTTACAAATGTTTAAAAAACATTTCTCGTAAAATAGCTTACTGAAAACAGAAAACAATACAGCAAACGCTGATGTTTCGGTTTCGTTGAAAACCTATTTTGTCTACGGTGAACAGAACTGAATGTAACTAGCAGGTCAAGTTACAAGGGCTTTCGTTAAGATGGAAAGTGTGCGCAAGCTGTTTGCAAGGCTCTTACGCAGTTGTATTCACTAGACAGAATTTCCCATTTGTTTATAGTCTACGAGAGGCGCCGGTTAAAGCCCCAGCGTACTTACTTAACAGGAGCATTTACTTATTACCCTGTGAAAGTGCATTCGCTTTTCAGCGGCCACTGGATGACCGCGTAGCGGGATTATACGAAAAACTTAGACCAAGGGGAGCGCAGTTTCAATTACTTGGCTGGGGGGCTTTCTGTAGTTACACGGATACCTGCAGGAAAAAGACTATTAAAATCGACGTAAAGCAACAGGAATGTAACCGGCAAAATTGAACAGATGTATGAACTTTTTGCTGATAAAAAAGCTACCATACGTTTACGTTTATTGTTCTGCCTTTACGTCAGAAACTTTTTTTCGATTTACTTGGAGCCTGCGCTACGATACGATCACCTTTCACGTACCTACGATAGCGATACGACATGTACGGCTTCGACACTGCCTCTTCAGAAAAGAATCTGGAAATTATGAGTAGCCACTGGTTTAAGGTACCTCCTGGCTCACATTAAATAAGGTACGCCGGCGAGAATGGCCACTTCGTTTTTATGCTTGGCCAGCTGTCTAAAAGACAGCACTGTCTTTTATGATCGCGAAAAGTTTCAGGAAGATATAAACGCGATTTACGATGGCGCTGTAAAAAAAAGTTTAAGTTTCAACCCGAAAAAGTCAGTGCACATGCGCTTTTCCTTAAAACGCGACATGACCTTTGTCCCTAAATATTATTTAAACAACGTTGAAATTGAGCAGAAAAATGTTACTAAATATTTGGGATTAGTAGTTGATAGAAAATTGCGTTGGAGTGAACATACTGAGAATTTGTGCATGCGAATTCGCAAGCGTATCGGCTTCATATTCTCCATGTTTTACCACTACGACTCGGCCGCTTTAATATGCCTATATAAGGCTCTTGTTCTCCCTTTGTTCGACTACTGCAGCCCCGTTGTAAATCCTTTTTTTAAATTACCCAAAGACGATCTCGAGGACTGTGCGCTAAAATTTCTTAAACGCTTACGCTTAGGCTGCGCTACGGATGACTACCGTGGTCGTCTTCGTGAGTGCCGATGGGATAGTGTTCAGCTGCGCCGCATAAAGCACTCTTTGGTTTTAACTTACAAATTAGTGTTTGGTATGATTCCCTTTTGCGATTCCTTTTTTGTTAGCTATGAATCGGTTACTGCCGTTGATAATGTTGCAGGAAATACACGGAATGCTACCCGCATGGCAGAACATCCATTTCCGATTCTACCCGCCGATAGCACCTTCTGTGGCAAAACTGTACCAGCAAGCGAAGTCGACTTTTCATGTTGGACTGCGAAACTGTGGAATGAACTGAATTTTGATGTAACAGCGTATCGCTCGATACGGACCTTCCAGAAGGCCCTGGATGAAGTATCATGGGAAAATTTTGCTTGGATTAAGGAACAGCTGCCTCAAGATCAGTTTTAAAGATCGGTTTTCGATAACGCTTAAAGTTTGCAAGTGTCTCTTAATTTCAGTGTTTTTATGTTGCTCTTTTAATTCTCTTTTGCACTGATTGTCTGTAGATCACGATAAGGAGTGATTCCTTGTATCTAGGGACGTTAAACAATAAACCTAACCTAAACCTAACTGTCTTAGTGTTCTGCTCGGTACTAACACTCAGTGCACATGTGCATTCAGTAGCGGTGACGGAAAGGCAGACATCATGAGCTACAAGTTATCGAATTATAACCGGACACCGCGCAAAAGTGCATTCGGTACCAAGCCCCGCAGAGCACATTTGCGCTTGGTGGCGGTGACCAACGGACATTCCATTAGCGCTGAACATAGAAGACCTTCGCTACAAATCAATGCACTCGTGTGGCGGACACCACAGGCACGGTATTGTCAGCATAGTTCAACATCGGAAAACTTTATAATTTATCATTATCAACGACACCATGGGAGACAGGACGGATGTGCTGGCCTGGGACGGCACTTGCGTCAACGCAATGGCCATATCCCACATGATAGCGACATCCGCAAGAGCGGAAGCAGCAGCAGCACAGGCTTGTATAAAGACAACAACTATCGCGTAATCACTTTTTAAACAAATTTGTCGTGTGGAACAATGAAGAGGATGTCTTGTTCTGGTGTCCAGTACGTGTTTCAAAAATACCCGGAATGCAAACAAGTCCAAGTATTCGCACATTCATACAAAAGAAACGGTGGTATCTTGAGAGAACCAGTCCTCGGTGTTCGGGTCCGCTCTCGCCCAGCACTCCACCTGGCCGTGTCGGTGGTGCGTGCCCCGGTAGACCGTCAGATTGAGATCGGCTCGGCAATAACTGCTGCCGGGGCTCGCTGGCTGGACGTTCACAGCACGGCTGCTGGCCACGAGAGTCGTTTCAGCATTCCCTTGACAGCCGGTGATACTGCGCAGATAATGGTTTTCTGGCATGGCCTCGCGCATAAGCGTGCCGGCGTACACCCACAGAAAATGCTGCTCCGGCTCGCCACTACAGGCAAACTGCAGGGCGCAGGAAACAGTCACGGGAGTGAAGTGCGGCGTGGTGACCGGCGCTAAGGGTTCCCGGAAGACCTGACTAACCGCACGGGGCTGCGGTAACAAGAGGTACTCTTTCTGCACACACCACGTGTCGCCGCAGCGCTGCAGACACTCAATCCGGCCGGTTGCTGCGGAGGAGATGTTATGGAGAAAGAGAAACACCAGGTCGCTGCTGCGGGCATGACTGTACTGTAGTGATCCGTTCTGTTTGGGATCCACTAACTGATCGTTATGCTTCCATATGTAATCTGCTCTCCGGATACGCCGAGGACACAAGGCAGACTGGTGGCATCACCGATGAATGGTCGCTGGATATGACCATGGGGGTCAGCGGCTGCCGGTGCGAACTGCGGCAGTGTGACCCGGTGCCGCGTACTGTTTCTTGTGGCGTCCACAAATGCGCGCAGCACTAAAATTAACAAGGTTACAGTCAAGAAATGATGAAATCAGTGCTTCAAATTAACCGTATAATGATCATCTACGCGCTAACAACACGGTTGGCACAGTGAAAGTAAATTATAGTGAAAGATTGATTTATTGGTGGCCACTCCGTTCACATCCTTTCGCAGAACTTTTCCCTCTGTGCACAAGCTTTTTCCAGCGCTATTTTAAAATGCGTTAACTGTAAAATATTTTTTAACAGCAAGTGCGGAGCGGGTTCACTTATGACTTATTTTTTAATTGCCGGCACCGTGATTGCTGTTAGGTAAATTATTCCGTGTACAGATATTACAGAGAATCCAGACATTTAGGCACGTTTGTTTGCAATAATATTATGTAATATTTTTGAATTTGGTAAAATTACCGTGATGGAAATAAGTCCGAAAAGTTGTTCCCCATTTCTGCTCATGAGAGAACATGAAAGCGAAAAAACGAATGGGTAGCGAACGGAGTGAAGGGTACACGTTACAAACGGTAGTGCGCGCAAGAAGTAGCGCCCAAAGATACTGCATCCTGACTACTAACCAGTAATATTTCCACATTTTTCCATTTTTTCAAGGAGACGTTTCGCTGTTTCGAATAGTGGCTCATGCTCACTCGTTGCTGGCGAATGTGGCGATGGGGAATAGGGGCAAGCTTCGTTCTGGGTAATATACGCAGCCGACTCCAGCAGTAATGTTACGTCCATACTGGAGCGGTTGTAATGGAAAACTGCAAACCACAGGTGTATAGCAGATGGGAAATCTCCAGAGGTAATATTAATGAACTCAAGGGAAAGTATTCAATCAAACCGGCCGTGCAACACAGGAAACGGCGGCGTTTTCGCCAGTTCGCCTCCGCGGTTCTTTGTACTTCAATGATGAAAGCAATTAATAGGTTACTATCAAGTTTAGACTGTGTAAGAACACCTTCAAAATGTCACACTCTCACTTTCCGCGATATTAACAACTAGGCACCGTAGTCGACTGGGTAACCAGTACTCGTAACAACTGCCTGTCTTGACCGTCAACCGAGGGTAAGTAAACTAAAAGGTTCCTTCAAGGATTTTGTACATTAATCAGCTTTTGTTATTACTTTTTGTTTCTTCATAATATTTTTGTCGCGTTACCAAGGTGACAGAACACAGCCACACCGATTTAGGTGTAGAATCCAGCTTTGCTACCGAGTGAGTACTGACTGTACACATTACTGTACAGTGTACACAGTGCGTCAACTTGGATCAGCAGCTCATTTATGTAAACCGCCACATGGTGGCTGGCAAAACGTGTTGTAACTTGTAAGTACTTCGATTTCGCCCGTAAATTGCATAAGCTCGCTTTACGGGCCAGCAGCTTGCTGACGAGCAGTAGCGTGAACAGCCTGTCTCTCTGTTCCCTGACTCCGTTCACTCGTTCAGTTGCGCACATCGCTAAAGCCTCAAAACCGGTTTTGCGGCTTTCGCCATGTGCTGATGTCCATTTTCCGTGAGTGAGCAACCAGCTGACCCGTACAGTGAGCTTAAGCAATTTACGGGCGAAATCGAAGTACGATTGACCATTGGCCGATTGTTGAGAAAGACCGAAAAGTATCGTGTGACGCTGTGAAATTTCTTGCCACTTGCCCAATAGAATTAAATTCGCGTAATAGAAGCAGTTTTTTTCTTATCGTTGCTTTTTTACTCACCGATATTATTATGAATTTGAATTAAAGGTTATGTAACAGGCAAGCGCGAGGAGATCACGAGTGATGCTTTATTGTACAAATAAAGGAACAATACTGCGTAATAGCAGGGAATGCAAGAACAAAGCACTGATGGCTAAACAAGCAAGTGGATGCTAGAAGAGCTCTTGAGCGTTCGTCAAGGCGTGAAAGAAGCAACTGGCGGCAAGCACGTGCTGTGTGCCATCAGCTGTGTGATGATGCGCAGACTGGACTCAATCCAACGCGAGCGTATGAACGCTGAGTCATACTGCGAGAGAGGGACGAGAGAGCAAGTATGCTCAGTGTGTGCGCCGCGTATATCCGCTTCAGCGGATATGAGTGCAGTGCAGCAGCACACGTACGTACAGCGAGAGAGGCGATACGGCAAGCATGAGTGCAAGTACGTCCATGGTGGGCCGTATGCACCAGGCGCAGTCGTGTGCCTCTGACATGCCTCTGGGCGGGAATCCGAGCTCCTGCGAAGGATGCTCCGACTCGGTACCGCACCAGTACCGCACAACTCTCCAGTCGGACCCAATGTGGGGTCGCTGGTACGCGTCCTCTGGCAGTGGGAGTCCGGTGTCTGGTCGACCGTCCCTTCTTCACTTCCGAACCCATGAGTGGAAGCCACTCACGGCCGAAAGATCCGGAAGCCGCTCGGGCGTTTCGTTGGACCGGTGGTGCTTCTGTTGGCTGGCTTCTTGCTTCTGTTGGCAACGGAGAACAATGTGAAAGAAAAGTGTAATGAAAGTTGTATACAGCGCGAAAGAAAGTATGAAGTAAAGTTTAATCACAATTCCAGTGAGCAAAAGGGGTTACAAAAACAGATCTGTTAAAGAGATCGAACTAGAAAAATACAATTCCGTTTGTTAGGAGAAATACTAAAAAAATGCAAAAATCTGTCCGGGGGTCCTATTCCGACTAGGATGACGTCCACGGGGCAGTTGAGTCTCCACGGGGTCTCCTGTCCACTTTCATCCGGTAAGTTGGGTCCGGGGCATCGGTTCCCGGGTTACCCGTCGTAACCGGTTAAATTCACCGAGGTCGGATAAGCACGGTTAAACACTTACGTCCGACCCGTATCCGTCCGTTCGGGATGGAGAGGCACTGTTGCGGTTGCAAATGCCGAGGCATCCTCTCTGGATGGGGAATAGAACCGAGGTCGGTTTGACCAAGGTCGGCCTACCGGTAAGTCAACCGGCGGCTAGGGGAATTCGGCTATGTTCCGAATTGCTGAAATCCAGGTCGGAGAAAGCTGTATGTGAGTCATGCGGCCTGTGTGGTCGTCATGTACAGCAGTTCCGTTCAAAAGTGGTCGGTTACAACCGTTCAATCTGCTACCACGAGCCTGGTTTGTAGTAATCCGAGTCGAACTGGCTCGAAGGTCCGGTCGGAATTTATGAGTTTTGGCGATGGAAGTGTCCAGTCGACTTCCATCCAATCTGTTCCGTTGTTATCCGACCTTCTGTCGAGGTCGGTTATCCTATCCGTCAGTGGTCGACTAGGGTTAACCTGCAATGACATGCCCATGTGGGGCTAAACAAGTTCCTTCAAGTCGAATTCGTCCATTGCAGATATTTATCGTTCTTTTTCCGTCATGTTGACTAAATTGCCGACTTCCGACATCTCTTGATCTATGGTCGACTTCGGGAGGTCGACTTCGGGAGGTCGGATGGACTATGTTTCCATCCGCCCGAAGGTCGGGTGTTTCTGTTAGGAGGTCGGTTCTCGACTTCTGAATGCCTTTGCCGACTTGTTGTCGTACCCTCCCGACTTCTATGCAGTCGGTTCCGACCTC